CTGCCTGCCAAACGGACTGACGGTGGAGGCTTGATCTCGCTACGTGGTGAGATCATCATCACTGGCAAGCACAACAAAAGACTGATGGGAAGAGGCTGTCAGCCTGTGCGTAAGCGCATGTGTGTGTGTGTCCGGGGGTGGGAGGAGGGGAGACAGGAGGAGGGAGGAGGGGAGGGGGGGGATAAGTGTGTGATGGCTTCATTCCTGTATCAACACAGGTCTCTCTGTGGATGAGTCAGGAGGCCATGCCTGACCATCATCCTCTCTCATCTCTCTGTATCGCACACACACACACACACACAGGAAATCAAAAAGCTCTCAGCGTGCACACACACACACACACACTATCACAGACACACACAGAATGTGGGCTCGGGGGTGAAGTGGTGCTTGGAGGGACTGAACTTGGGGGTCGGGGATGAGAGAGACAAGAGAGGGACAGAAAGCACTTCTGTTGGGAGACACTATGTTTCATTTCCAACGTCTTCCAACGGCGGTTTCCGTTGACTATAATGTGAACATTTCAAACCGTAACATGTCTTCTGAACAATTCATGAACTGCTCTACATTTTACAATCATATCATAGTTATGAACATCTCAAAGCTGACTGTCTTCAAGCGTGCGGCGTGGAATAAAGAGAGCACGCAGAAGAGAGAGAAGTGACGGGACGAGCGGAGCCCTTGTTAGGCGGGACACGTGGGGGAAGGGATTCAGCGTAACACCCAGCTGTCTACCTGTCTGTCTGGTTGAGGGGAGAGTGGGGTTTACAGCGTAACACGGGGGCCACTGTGCTCCTCCGTGGTGGTGCGTGTGCGCGTGTGCGTCTACGTCTCGCTGCTCTCGGGGGTGCGACGGCGAGGAGGAGATAGGCAGTCGACCAACATCGCTCTCTCCCCTCTCCAGTTTAGATGTCTCTCTACGCGGACACAAAGAGAAAGGGATGTGAGACAACAGAGGGAAGGCAGCGACAACAAACCCGGCTCTTTCCCTGCCAATGCAAAGCGCCTGCGCTGCACCTTTATGGTCTCAATCGCCTGCTTTGAGGATAAATGACTTCTCCATCCTTCCTCTTTGTCCGTTTTCCGCTTTCTTTCTCTTAATATTTTCCCTCTTTACTTTCGTTTGTCCATCCTGTGATTCTTCCGTCCATCTTTTCTTCCCTTATGGTTGAGTTGACTCATTCATGCAGCTTTAATCAAAGGGCTCACCACAGAACCACATAGTTTCAGGACTCATTCAGGACCTGGTGGTTTATAAATATATGGATTCATTCACACTTACTTGAGGCTGTAACAGTGGTCTTAAATTGAATCCATGACAGAATATTTCTATTTGCAAAGTTTATGTTCCGGTGTACAGTTTATTAAAATGTGTCTTAGGTGTAATGATGTCATAATGTCTTGCATTTCAGTTGCTTTGTAATTCTAATAAAATATGCAAAGCTAGTACATTACTTTATAATGGAGAAGGATGACTGTATATGTGGTACAATATGTTAGGATGTAGAAGTGACAACAGTTTATTTATTTTTTTAAGGCAAATGTGTAACTGCATAAAGTGTTTTAAATGGTATATAAATCATGTTTTCTATTTAAATTTAAACTCCAACAGCTACAATGTATACGTTTAATAGTCTATTGTCACCTGCATGAATTAGGATCATTTAAAAAATAAATAATGATGTTTTTAATGATTAATAATGTTCTGAATCACATGTCATTTCCATAACACAGTACTTGTCATTATATCAGAGCAAAAGCCAGTAAAATGGTTAAAGGCCAATGCACTGGCAATTAAAATGAAGGATACCCATCTGACCTGCAGGCAGTTATCCCTAATGAGATAATAATCTCTTTTAAAAAAGGAGAACATTTATTTTTCCTTTCAACAACTTATATCACTGTCGTGCTTTTTAAATATAGTACACTGTGGATTTATCACGGCCTTGATGCAAACGGGATACGAGGGCATTTTGTTCATTATTGGAAAGAGTGATCAAACATGATGAAATGAAGCGAACCACAAAACTAAATTATAGGTGCAAAAAAGTAAGACCTTGATGATTCATAACTATCGATCCTGCCACAGTGATTGATTAGATAATCGATAGTTCTTTCTTCAGTTTAAAAACCACAAAATGCCGTATAAAAACCTCGAGTATAATCGTGTCCAAAAAATCTGTGTAAACCTGTAACATGTGTATAAATAGACTTCAGGTTCCACGAGTAAACACGACATATTTCTCACGGAGTTGAGGGGGACAAAGTGCTAAACTCACCAGCACCCGGTGACGTGGTGATATTGGTCGCTTTCCTGCCGGGGGGAGATTTAATAAACGCAGAAAACAAACAGGGCGCGCGCCGCCTGACGGGCTGTGCTGAGGGGGGTGAGGAGGGGGTGAGGGGGGGGGGGGGGGGGGCGGTGGCACATCGAACACATCCTCCTGTAGGAAGGAAGCCGCGTGGTGAAAGAAAAAAGAGGAACAAAAAGAAAACAGGAGCCGTGGACGGGACTCTTTAACCCCGCTGTGAACCCGTGACCTCACCTTCCGACTACTTCCCATTACCTCTGCACGACATTCAGCCCACATACCGCAGAGCGCGCACGCACGCTCACGTGGCATTGTGTGTGGGTATGAGGAGGGGGGGGGGCTGTTCATGGAGGGGTCAAAAGAATGAAAACCACCGTTTTCACAGGGCAATTATCGGGAGGCACGAACGCTGGATGCCCCGTGCGGAATTTAACTGCACTGGTTCCGATGGGCGGATCACGAAGGTAAACAGCCAATGAGAAAGCAGAGACAATAGAGATTTCTGAGTTTTGTCATCAGTAATTCAATATTTTAGGATCACACAACACACAGTCAGTCCCATTATTGTGTGGATATTGTTGTGTTACAAGGGAAATAAAACAATCCCCCTCACTGGCATGATGACGTGATTAAATGATATGATATGTTTTTGTCAGTATGTTTCTTACGTTGCGGCCTGACTCTTCTGCCAAAGACAGTTTGTATCTCCTGGTTCAATACAAAAAAATAAAGCTATTAAATAAAAACTTTAGTTATTCGTTGTGTTCATACAATAAAATAGTTTAATTGTAAAACACACGTTGAGGTTGAATGTTGCCAAATGTCCCCCAAAAAAACACAATATCGTTTACATTCCACAGATTTCACTTTCTGCTTTTACAATTCTACTTATATATGGTTCTTTCTCTCAATTTAAAATACACACACACATTTTTATATATGTATATGTGTAAAACACCTTGAGATATTTTTTCCCTGAAGTGGCGGAAGCTGCCTCCTGAATGAGTAAACTTTGTGGGGAGGTCGCGGTTGCTCAGGAGGGAGAATGAAGCGGCCACCGGAGACACGACGGAGCGCGGATCCACAACTGCAGCTGCCGCGCATGAATGTTTGATAAGCGTGCGGGATAATGGCTCCCCGAATCAGGCAAACACAAACATCTCCATCGCGCTCTGACATCTGCCATCCAACGCTAATAAATTTGACCTGAATAATGAATGAACATCAACAATAATAAAGCTGAAATATCTCCGTGTTTTATAGCAGGGATGTATGTCAAGGGTGCGAGGCGGTTTTTAATCATTAAAACATTAAGATGGGGGCTTTCTCTGAGTGGCTGCAGGATCACTTTGGGGCTGTTATTTGTTTTTTGTCTTTGCGTGTGAAGGCTGAACATGGCGGGTTGCGTGCAGGCTTGAATGGTTTCCACAGTGTGTGTGTGAGCCCCATGCGTATGAAAACATTATGGTTTCAATAGCGGGCAGTGGGAGCGCGTAGTGAGCGGATCTAACTCGATACTTAAACTACTGCTACTGTCAGAGAGTGGACGTTTAAACAAAAGTACAAGCAGTTGAAATACACATTTATAACTTCCGTTGGGCAGAATTTCAAAAAATGTATTTGGAAACTTTTTTTTCTTTCTTTTTTTCCAAGTACGCGAATCAAATCGAAATTATAGCTTTAATTGCATGAATGAAAGATCATAGAAAAATCTACTCGAAATATCTCTGTCGAGTCTTACTTTGTAAGACTTTTTAAATCCCTTATTCACAGATATACTGTACGATTATTAACTGTGATAACCTTAGAAAATGGGCTAAAGAATAAATCCACTGGCTTCAAGGCTCTATCATATTAAATGGAATTATAACATCTATTAATGATAACGAAGCATTATTGTTTTGATCATTATTGTTGCCAATAGAAACCTACATTATAATTAATAACGTTTCTTTACGAGCTCATGGGCTCAAACTGCTGAGAGCCTGTTGCATTTTCTTTTTCATCTACCTGAGCCCCATTTCTGCTCCCCTCCTCCTCCTCCTCCCCCCCCGTCCCCTCCATCCTCCCCCCTGCTCTCGCAGACGTCCGCTATTGATCCGGGGAGTCAAACGGAGATGCGTGACATAAACCGGATTGGACTGGCGCTGCTCACCCGTGAATTACGGGCTCCTCCGCCGGCGCATCTCCACGTTATTATCCTGTAAACTAACGCGGATGGTTCCGGTCTTCACTTCTGGTGGGCTGCCGAGTCCAATCCACTAGAAAAACACCTGAGAACCAAGAACGGCACCAGAACCGATCCGTTGTAACCACTTTTTTTTTTTTTTTTAAAGAGAACAATAATTAGCAGATATTATTTTAATATCGATGTTATTGTTTTTTTATTTAAATATCAATACCAAAAGGTCTATTTTATTTATGCAGCTACAAATTCCATAAATTCTAAAAAAAATTAGGGGTTTGGGATTTCTTAGTGTGTAATTTTCCATAAGAAAAAAAGTTAACGTTTTAAAATACATTTTCAGGAGTTTCCACGTTAACGGCTTCTCGTGGTCATTTCAATTAACTTTCACAGACACCGATGTGAATATTAAGGCGACACATACGTGGATCATTGAATGGCGTCTCGGTGCAAGTGTGAATTAGATTCTTTTAACTCAAATCTCTTCAAAGAATCGAAAAGTAAATGTTACAGTCAAACGAACAGATTTAATGAAAGGTAAAACAATCATTTTAATATTGAATATATAACTGTAAAACCGCACTAGACCACGCCTAAGACAGCAAAAAAAAGCAGTCTACACACGCTGCAGTGAAAATAGTGTGCAAACTACTTTTGCACTTTTTTTCCCCCCGCTGTCTTCCTGCCGGTTCCGTGCGGGAATTGTTCTCCCGAACAATGATCCCAGCCGCGCGCACCGACAGGCCCATGCGCGCTGAGCGGATGTGACGTGGCACACCTCTTTTACACTTCTTGCCCATCTCGAACTTGACTCGGGGGTAAACGGGCAATCGAGTCGAGTAACGTCAAAAGCTGCAGTCAATGACAAGGAGGGTGGAGGAGGTGGAGGAGGGGGGGTGGGGGGAGGGGGGTGACGTCGGTTCTGTTCGTTGCGTGCCACGCAAACACCGCGACAAAACGTGCGCAGACAATGACAGGATCGTGGGTGATTCGGTGACTGTGACCTTCACACGGACACAGAAAAGAGGGAGAGACAGAGGGGCCCTCGATAGGGATCTATGGATCACTCACATGAGTGGATTACTAAATACAGTTTACCTGCATAGGGAGAAATTGTTGTGAGAGGAGTTAAACCACAAGGTGTGAACGATTTAGATTCACGATATACTGAAATATCAAGTGTAGTGGTCGTACTTAGACATTTAACATTAGGGAAAAGTAGTAATAATAAAGCTAAACCTGACGTTTATGTGTAATGTAGAACAGTAATTGATGTTTTAGAAGTGGGACTATTTCAACTATTCTATAAATACATATTTAAATTGTTATACATTCTTCAGTTAGATCTGAACTATAAAAATATTTAAGATAATGGTGAAGTTAAAAAGTACGTTTCCCTCTTTTGTAACAAAACATGGAAACACCACCCTAAAGCTGCCTGCAGCTATAGGCTTAGGGTTAGTTACTCCACTTCCATTACTGATGAAAAATGAGCAGCCTATTTATAGACAGTTTGTCATTTTTGTCTTTATTATATGTAAATGTCTTTACTGGAAGAAGTTAAGTAAAGACAGCCTTGATACGACTCCATGACAAGGATGAAAGTGTCCTTTCAGAAATGGTGCTGAGTAGAAGTACATGTATCTTAATTGCAAATATACAAAGTTACTTTACTCTTTCTGATTTCTCTGTCAATCACAGCGGTTTTCATTCACGTCATTCAATGCTAATAAGAGGCTGTTTCACGTCTGTAATGTCTGAGGTCGTGGCCTCGACTCTGTGTAAGTTGCCGGTGTGTCCAACCACAGCAAGCGTTGAGAGTAATGACGGCCTGTTTATAGCTCCTATCCATAAGAGATGTGCCGCTTAATCAGCCAAGTCCAAACTCGGGGAGAAATTCTCTCAACATTTGCGCTGATGTAACTGTGGCCATCGTGTTACCTCCCCTGAGTCCACAGGGCACTTTTATAGGCGTGCAGATGGGCGACGCACAGGGATTCGCTCAGGGTTGCATGTCGACTCGAGAGAAAGTGGAGGTCTTCTTTTTGCTCTTCAACAAAGTCACTGGGAGGTGAGCATCATATGTAAAGCTCGGGGCAACGCATCTGATATGCGCCTATTATTTATTTCTCCGTCTCTGCTTCTGTCTCCAAATCAGCTCGTCTACCTGGAAGAGTGAACACACCGCCTCCTCCAGCGCTGCAGCTCTTTAACGCCGGGGACGGAGGGTGAAAGAGGCGACGCGGCGAGAACATGAAGGCCTTTGATACGGGCACATGGGGCGCTTTTACTTTGTGTAGACTAATGACAAATGAGCCAATGAAGGCAGAGAGAATTCAGAAGGACCATAGCTTTTACTTTTAAGTCCCTCCAAAATGTTTGTGGGACACACCTATTTTGGAAATTGTGACTGGCAGGGAGGGGGAGACCAAACCGGCCTAATTGATTTTTAAGTGGTGTCTCTGTGGGTTAGAGGAGCAAGAGGGGAGTCCACTTCAGGGATCCGCCAAACTCCTCCAGTTTGTACCTGAATTGAGGGGCGGTGATGTGTTGCTGATGCGGCTCACCAAGCCACACTGGGGGCCAGGCGAGGGGGCGAGGGGGGGGACGAGGGGCCAGAGCCTGGGCCGAGCTCGGCGCTCTGATGGGGGATGGAGAGTGATTAGAAACGAACTTGCCTCTGCAGAGGCAGCAAGCGGGCATGTCAAGCGTCATTCAGCCAACAATGGAAGACACATCGGGCTTGTTGATGCTGTCCCTCTGTCCCCTCTCACGCGGCGACGACCGGACAATAATCTTTAAAAACCCGGGGTGAGTTTCAACACATTTGACTTCATTGTCTTAAGGCGGCGTGTTAATTTACAGCACACTATCACCACATTGTTCCATTGTTGAGGACACGAGGCCACGGCGTCAGCACGTGGGAAGTTGGGAGAACGAGTTGGGGTGTCTGCCACCGTCGCGTCCTTATTGAGAGCATGGTTGCAATGCACCACCCACACTGCACTGGACACACGCGCGCGCGCGCGGGCGCGACCGCGCACCAACAGGCATGTGTGCATGCATCACAGCCCTGACATGCAGAGGGAAGAAGAAAAAAAAGCGACTCTCCCCAAGTGAGCGGATGAAAAGGGGGGAGAGGGAGGCCGTCCATGCAGCTCCACTCTTCCAGGGTCTCACACACAAGATCCGGGCGCACGGCTCCATTGAGTACGAGGAGGCTTTTGCATGGAGGTTCATTAGAAGTAACGAGTTGACACAAGGTAAATCTTAATGTCGAGGCGCCTTTCTCTACCGGCCCGGGGAGGAGCCCTCATTAACTGTCGCTAACAACCCGTGTAAATACACTGATTGGACAGCTCCGATACAAGCTCCCAGCCCTGCCAGGAAGTCCCCCTAATGAGACCACACAATAAAAACAATAAAAGAAAGGGGGGAGAGGGAGGGAAAAAGAGGGAGAGAGGAAGAGAGGGAGAGGTGTTAAAAACTTTTTGCACACGCTTTTCCAGTAAAGTTGTGCGGCACATTTATAGATAATTGTGCAAACTATCACTAAGAAATTACAGCGTCTATTTATTTCATTTCAAATAGAGGCGTTGTTGTATTAAATGCTCCCACACACATGGGGTGACCAATTGCACCCGAATGTACAAGTTGGCAGCTGTTTACAGACTTAATCGTTATAGTCGCGCGTTATTTTAGGCTTCAAAAGGGTTGAACAACGACATTGCTTCCGCAGTAACAGGTTACCTGAGACCTAGAGATTATGCACTGCAAAAAAATATTAACACACTTTATTCAGAATTGTACAATATTTATTCCACTACAAAATTCTGCCAATTCTGGCTATTACGCATTACACGCATTGCACAATAATAATAATAAAAATTGCCCTTTTTCGAAAAGGTCACCACCAAAGGTATTAAGAAACGGCCATCGGTCGTTGTTGGAGATTTAACACGTTGTCAGCTATAACTTTTAACATTTATAGGTGCAAGGCTAGAATGACTTGGTCAGATTGACACTTCTTACAGTGTAGACGCAGTGGGTCTGGGTACATTGGCCGGCGTGGGACGGAGGGGGTCTGAGCGCCCAGTGCCGACAGCAGCACACATCTGCTCGCCAAACGCACCGGTCCGCCCGGTGCTCGGTGAATCAAAAATAGCGAGAAGGCTACACCCAATTAGGTGATTCGAGATGAGAAATTTCATAAAGAAGAACAAATCACCGATGAGCATATCTGTATAATTCCATAAATATGTATTTTAAAAAAAAAGCATCAGTCGCTGAGCAGCTTTGGCACTCTCGTGGTCGGAAACGGGTCTGCTTGACTTACGCGAGCAGCGGTTGGATTTCCATCCTGATGTTGGACCCGTTAACCAGAGAAATAGCAGTGGAGCAATGTCACGTCCAGTCCCGAGCTCGAATGGCAATAGTCCGTGGACCGGACCCGACACACGGCTCTGCAGGGGGGGAAGGGGGGGGGGGGGAAGAAGAAGGGGGGAAAAAACAAGAGCCAAGGGAAGAAACAATCCTCCTGACATGTTTTGGTGAGAAAACACCACCGCTGCATTCCCACATAACCGAAATAAAATGTCTGGCAAGAGCACGATAATTAAAAGTCCTTACACGATCAAAATGAAATGCACGCGTGCACGCGTGCAGCTCCGCGTGTGAAGAAATAAGGACAATTGAAACCGTGATTTATTTGGTACGTACCCGTCGCAGCTCCAAAGTGCCGTCTCGTGAATGGTGCAGATGAATCCAGGATGGAGTCTGTCCTGCGTTTGCCTGTGTTTGCCAGGGAGGGGTGTGCTGCCGTTTCTGGCCAGCCTCTGCCAAAGCGGGGTCAACGAGGGAGCAAAAAATAAAACAGGACCCTTTTCTTTTCTTTTTTTTGGTGCCTTCTTTCTCTTTCCCTCTTACCTTATACAGTCAACACCTTTTTTCTTTCTTTCTGTGATCCGGTGTGCTTCTCTTTCCCTCACTCCCATACATGACGTAACGCCACGCTTTTGTTTATCTGCTCCCCTTTTATTGGCACAGAGTGAAAATTATCTAATTGGCATTTAACCAGTAACTTCCCTTGCGTGCAACTTGGATAAATATTAGTTTAAGAGCAACACAAACTTAATTCATATTTTTCAAACAAAGTGATTTTTTTTTAAAAACAGACAGCGTGGCTTCTCCGTCTCATCGACCAAAACATCTTCAGTGTTTTCCAGAGAGCAAAATGTTGTCTGCGATGTCGTGTCTGGAGTTTCGGCCCGTAAGTAAACGGAGAAGACGCTAAATTCTCCATGCGCTTTCAGAGCTCTCGTCCCCCGCTGCTCGGAACATTCAGCGAGCCCTCGGATAAACACACAATTACGGCAGGTGAATAAACTTGTTTGGGGGGTGTTAATTACATGCTTAGCGTAAACAAAAGCCGCGATAAAGAATGTGAATTAGCACTGACTCTTCCCCCCCTCAATCCCCATTCAGGTTTTACATTTCACCTCCAGTCTTTTTCCTAGGAGTGATTTCCGAATTGCCTGCGAGGGCTATTCCCAAACAAACAAGGCTCCTCCAAAACATAATGCTGGATAATACCTCCAGCCTCGGCTTGAATGGTGATCACCCAAATTGCTGCACCAGGACCCCAGTCAGGTAGGAGGCTTTGCATATGTGCTGCTAAGCCTGCGCTCTCAACTTAATTTTGGGGTCGTGCGTGCGCGTTCGTGTGCGTGTGTGTGTGGGAGAGAGAGAGAGCGAGGGCAGGGGGGAGGTTAGTTTTAACACCAGCATGAAAATACCAGCCTTTACTTCCAGTCCACGGAGCTTTCCAACGGGACCAATTCAAGTGCCACTTGGAATTAGTTCTCCTGAAGTTCGTGCAGCAGCGCAGTGGACAGGTTCGATCCACCACCACCCTGCCCCCTCGCACACGTATATAAATACATATGCGCGCGCACACAACCCTTAAAAGACGCGCACGAACCAAACGCCTGACCCTACTAAAGGATCCTCACAGCCCCTGCTCTGTATCACACACACCTACGCGGCCGTGGGGATGGGAGAGCTCTTTTTGGCAACCGAAAAAAAAAAGAAACAACATGCGTAAAAGTGCGAAAACTGCCTTTGGAGCGGCGAATGCTAAACGCACATTGCGCGTGCACGTGCGGCTGGTCTACTCACTGCCCCCCCCCCCCCCCCCCTCCCGAGCTTGAAGTCGGTGGTCTGTCTGGTCAGCTCCCGAGAATGTGCCAATCTGAAAGAGGGAGAAAAAGTTTTGAATTCCTGAATGATTTTGTAGAAAGGCGGCTTAGGATCATTATGTCAGCTTTATGGAGGGCGGATTAAGTGGAGTCTAGATGCTACGCCTTGTACGCGGCGCATTCACAATGTGAGCACTGTTCGTGTTCGAGTGAACTCACACTATTTTAACACTCTATAAGCCCTGTCTAAATATGAAGCCGTTTTAGCCATAAACATGAAAACCACACCGCCGTGGCTACTGGTGTAAGCCGAATCCTGTGACTGGACGTGGACATTGATCGTGTCCTAACCACTAGATCAAATACATGGAAACTGCTTTTATGTGCCCAAGGAGCTTTCATGTCGCCGTTTGATTGTAACTCCAATACTAAATGGTATTAATTAGAGGGCTGGACTATCAAACCAAAACCCGTGATAAACTGGTGGAATGAAAAGGGTGACGCCACTGGTTAAATTAGTCTTCGAACTGACGCGCCATTATCTTTGTTTAATCAACATAACGCCGCGCATCGATATTCATTTGGAACAATAAATCCTTTTGTTTGAAGAGGAGGCGGGGGGCGGGGGGCCAGGGCCCCCCCCCCCCCCCCGGGGGCGGGGCGGGGGACACCGGGAGAAAGAGGGGGGGGGGGGGGGGGGGGGGGGAGCGGCATCACACTGCAGCCTTCGCCCGGGCCAGCACTCAGCAAACACCCACCAGCGAGCCCGCGTCGGGTCACACGATTTACCAACATGCTTCTTTACGAACAGCAGAAGAGTAAAAGGTCGTGCGCCACAATTTGATCTTTCGGAAAACAAGCAAATGCAAATGATATCACGGATGAACGGCAAAGAAGCGGGAGGCTCCAACGCTTTCCTTTCCCTCGCCCCCCAAAAATAATGAACTGATAAAAAAAAATATTTTAAAAAGTAGCTTCAACAGGAAAAAAACAAAAAAAAGACTGTACGGGAATAATGTGCAAATTCACTCGCTTCGATTCAAAACGCGCGTATTCCGGAGTCGCAGTCATTGGTTGTCCATTTGTCACCCTTTTTAAAGCTCCCTCTGCCTCCCTTCCATCGCTCCCTCCCTCCCTCCCTCCCTCCCCCGTCTCTGCCGAGCATCTCCAGTCTATATATCTTCTTTAGCTTTAACGAGCCTCGTTAAGATCGCAATAATATTCCACCCTCTAATTGCTCATTCCATTCAGCAGATAGGCGAGCGTTGGCTTGTGCGCGATGCGCGCCGTGCGGTGGGAGGGTTGCTGTGGAGATCGCAGACTCTGATAACCCCCCGTGCGTGCTGCACAAGTGGTGAAAGCCTCGCGCTACGTACTGGCTAATGATTGGCACGCTTGACAGTGATTGGCAGGGCTGCCATGACAACGCTACAACGACACCAAGAAGACCAATAGAAAAGGGAAACAAAATGTTTCAATGCTACACTCAACGGCGGATTTAGGGGGGAGATATTATGAGGCTGGTGTCATTAGGCGATAGCCATTGAATCATTCAATCTTTTTTACCGGCCGTATTTTTTCGGTTTCTCCCTTTTCTCGATAATTTGCTTTCTCTCTCAGGTCATTTCCATGGTTTTCAGATCCCCTTTAGAGCTTTATCCCTCCCATTTCTTCCTGCCAAACTTCGCTGATCGCCCAGTGCTCCTGGCGAACAGCGCTCCCGCCACCAGGTCTCCAGAAGACTTGTCCATGTTTCAGCTACCGACCCTCAACTTCTCCCCGGAGCAGGTGGCGAGCGTCTGCGAGACGCTGGAGGAGACCGGGGACATCGAACGGCTGGGCCGTTTCCTCTGGTCCCTGCCCGTGGCTCCGGGAGCGTGCGAGGCGATCAACAAGCACGAGTCCATCCTGCGCGCCAGGGCTGTGGTGGCGTTCCACACGGGGAATTTCAGAGACCTCTACCACATCTTGGAGAACCACAAGTTCACCAAGGACTCGCACGGCAAACTGCAGGCCATGTGGCTGGAAGCGCACTACCAGGAGGCCGAGAAGCTCCGCGGTCGTCCCCTCGGACCGGTCGATAAGTACCGGGTGCGGAAGAAGTTTCCGCTGCCTCGGACCATCTGGGACGGCGAGCAGAAGACGCACTGTTTCAAAGAGAGGACACGGAGCCTGCTGAGGGAGTGGTACCTTCAGGACCCGTATCCAAACCCCAGTAAGAAAAGGGAACTGGCTCAAGCCACTGGACTCACTCCTACACAGGTCGGAAACTGGTTTAAAAACCGGAGGCAACGAGACAGAGCCGCGGCGGCCAAAAACAGGTTGGTGTTTTTTTTAAATTTCATCTTATTCTCGACAATAAAACACGACAATGTTCCAGAGTTTATCTAAAATGGCTAAAACCAACAAGGAAAAGGGATATATTTCATGAATCGGGTGTGTTCGCGGGCAGAGACCGAGTCTGTCCGTCAGGGGGAGGGAGGCTGCGGCGACATGTTTGTTATGAAGTGAAATCAGGATCAACGGCGACTATTTACGCTGTTGTAAATTTCCCAAACGGTCTTTTTTAAAATAAATACGTTATTTTTTATATTTGGAAGAACTTGTGATAAACAATTTTGCCATGTATGTAATTTAACTTTGCTGGCATTTTTCTAACAAAATATAGAATTATCAATCACACAAAAACACTATTAATGTTAAAACTCCAAGGTTGTTGTTCAAATAACCTTGAATGATGTAATAATAATAACAAATATATCATGACAAACTATTATTTTTCAACCGATGAGGCAATTATTGATCAGGGTTTACAAATATAGAGCTTGTTTATGTTTTCCGTAAGGGTGAAAGTATTATATATAATATATATAATAAATGACTAAATAACAAATAGTGCTGACCATATGTTTATTTTACAATATATGTATATACACATATATTTGTATATATATATATATATTTATAACCATTATTTGGATAATTCTAGTGTAAACAAACATATTAATTATTTTATTCAGTAAAAGTAAAAAATAAAAAAAGGACTGGACCCGTCTTAATTTTATCCACCTAAAGGTTACTTCACTTATATCTACACTTTTGAATACATTTAAAATAATCATGTTCTGGTAATCATTTCAAAGTGTGTGTGTGTGTGCGCTACCAAAGCTGTGTAATGGTTTATTTAAGCTGCACGGCGTATAGTGTAGCGTGCGCTGTATGGTGCATTTGTCCTTTTAACATCACATTGTACTTTGCATTGTTGGAAAAGGTTATCTCAAAAGATAATAGAGATTGCATAGATATTGCTGGGCTAAAACGAGTGTGCGTATTAAAAAGCATTTGGAGACATGGGCTGTATTCATAACATTGAGTGTGGTATCATTCCATTGAAATGCTATAATTGATTAGAAAATACATCGGAGGGTACTAAGCCATACGAGCACTATTCTGATCTTTTTGCTAAATGAAGAGATATATTTCCAGCCTGATATTATCCTGCCGTGATGGAGTTATTATCGTGAGTGGATTGAGATAAACATTTAGGATGATTGAAGTAACCTGGATCTCGACGTCACTCATTCATATACTTGCACTTCCATCAGACTGAAACCCATCTGTGAAAGAGACCCTTACCAATATTGTATTGAATAAATAATAACAAGTTGGCAATGCGGCTTCAGAATCTAGGGTCCTTGAAAGATACAAAAAAAATGTGCAGCACTGAAGAACAACAACATGTGGCATATGCTGATGGGACATAATAAGAAGCAGAAAAACAACAGCAATAAGTGCTATCCAACTACTTTTTAAAACACTCCAAATTGGATTGAAATGCGAGTTGTCTGTGGGGACATTTCACGTAATTTAAATGCCGGATTGCTGACTTGCGCGTTGGAAATGCCTACTTTTGCAGAAAGACTAAACAACTCATTGCATTTCTTCCAACATTTGGTAGTCTAAACAGGGCCGTGTTTTGTCCCCTGAAAGCTGGCTATTTGATAAAAGCATGCATGCATGGCTGGGGCCGGCAGGGGGAAAGAAAGGCGAGTTTGAACCCCTATTTTGCAGGAGGAGGAGGGGAAGTGGGACATTCTCAGGTCTAATTGCCATTTCTCTGATTTTTTTTCTTCTCCCCCCCCCTCCTGGCTTCTTTTCTTCTCCAGGCTCCAACACCAAGCAATAGGACCGAGCGGTATGAGGTCCCTGTCAGAGGCCGGGCCTCACCCCTCACAGCTCGGCAGAGTCGCCATCAACCGCGGGCAGTCCGACTACCAGCGTTTCCAGTATGGCAGAGAGAGTTGATACTGGGGACGTCCATCCCTGTCCGTAACATCCCGCGACTCGGAATGCGATGTATGATACGAGGGGGAGAAAAACACACCAAAGAGAATATTTACCGGGAAAATGGACCTGAGAGGAAGAAAAAAAAAAAGACTTGTGAAATATTGCGGATGAAAAAAAGGACCGATTGATATAAATATTAAAATTAAAAGAGATAAAAGCACGTCGTTTTTCTTTTTTTTTTTTTTTTATTAAAAAGCGCTTTCAAAAGGACCCACGCCTCCCCCTCCTCTTCATACCCCCACGCCACCACCACCACCACCACCACTACTAGACCACTTGCATGATGTCTTTTTTTTATTTTATTTTTGTTTTGTAATCAGGGACAAGCACCTGAACGCAAGATTTTCCATCAGGAACATCGATCAGAGGGAATAAAAACAGATCGTCTTGGCGTCTTCGTCGCTTTTTTTTTTGGTCCTCATCTCCGTGTTAAGTCCTGATGATGATGATGATGATGATGATGATGATGATGATGAGGCTGATGGTGATGATGACGGCAAAGCAGCCGCCACGCAGACAAGATGCAATCCTGTTTTTACTTTTGTTCATCAGACAATCATTTTAAGTCGTAAGCACCTTTTTAAATACACTTCTGTCACTGCCTGTGTGGGGTAAATGGTCAAAAAAAAAAAATGTCGAACGGAACCGTTTATGACTGTATCAGATTTTTATTTTCAAAATTTTATATTGAATTATGTATATCTCAAATAATGCGATCGTTCTCCCGGTGTGTAATATACGTGTAGAAATATGCCTGTACATAATTAATGCTCTCCCTCGTCTCATCCTCTTTTCTATCCCTTCCTCACTTTTCTTGACTTGGTGTTCCTACATAAAATATTTGTCAAAACTTACAACTGAAGTGCTTTAGGCGTTTTTGTTGATTTTGGCTGTGTTTTTTGGGGGGGGAGGGAGGGGGGGGGGGCTGGATAATGAGATATGTTACCAGTCACATTTATGCAAAGAGAAAAAAAAAAGATAATGAAAAGTGGGATTTCTTGTTATTATTACATTGATTCAAGTCTTCAGCCCCCCCCCCCCCTCTTCCCTCTCTCCTCTCCGCCGCCCCAGGGTCGCTCAAAGCGCTTATTTACATTAGCCTATTCAATGTTTCTTTCTTGCGTGGTTATTATGTTAATGTACCATACATTTCTAAATCAAATACAGTATTCAATTTGCTATACCTCTGTGCATGATGTCTGTCTCTCCATCCGGTCACGGATCAGGGCGTCGATAAGAGGCTAAACACGTGTTCATGTCGGGTCATTTTGGATTGTGGAAGCATTAATGATTCGCTTGGTCTATGCGTCCCCGGCCCGCGCTGTGCACCCAGCGGGCTGAACTCCCAAAAAGGAGTTTGGTTTTTATTTCCGGAACCGAGTAACTATTCATCATATTGGTGTAAACTGTTGGGTCTTTTACGGTGACGAAACGCTGCATTAAAATGTTCTAGATTTTATTTTCCAGAAGTCATACTTTACCCCTTTCCTAATTTACTCCGGGTTCTGACCCATGTGATGCAGGTATGCATGCATGCATTATATATATATTATATATATATATATATATATATATATATATATACGGCTGCATAGTCTGCACACATTCTGGCAAACGTCAACGTCATGCAGCACTTTAAAATGTGAGTGCTATTTCCCCTATTGTTTACCGTTGCTAGTGAATACAGAAATTAAGTAAACGCGCCATTAAATGGGCTAATCACGATGGGACTCCTCCCCTGTCCCAATCTCCCATTGTGGTCCGCTGAAAAGAGCTTTTCTTCCTCGGACGAGAACCATTTCCCCCTCCAAAAAAAAAAAAAAAGGCTTTCTCTCCTGCAGTCCCTTTCCACCTAAATCCCCAACCAATTATGCTGCAGACTAGTGCACATTTGCTATAGGACACTGTTGCAGGAGCTGTAGTTGTGGTTGGGTGGATGGAAACACTTGCTCGAAGTTGTTGAGGATTTCTCCATTTAAGCTACTGTATTATCTGCAGGTAACTGTGATACGCGCAGAGTGTTTGTGTCTTTAAAACAGAAGCTGCTGTTTGGCTCAGGAGGGAAAAAAAGACAGATTTCAGTACTTGGGACAGATTTCTCCCTGAAATTAGAATGAGACAAATGAGACGTTGCTGTCTCTAAAAAGTGTAGCACAATTGCGGTAGCGGGGTGTCAGGATGTTTATATATTTGTGCAGGATGTTTGGCCGTTTTGTGCATGTCTGAAAGCTGGAATATTGTTCGCTGTGTGCGTGTGAATGAAGGCGCATGAAAAAAAAGGAGGCTAAATGGGGATATTTAACGTTCAGAATAGAGAACAGGAAAACTATTTTCCCACAAAAGGTGTACATTTAAGATTCCGTTGTTGATATAATGGCTCCAAACAAAGCAGGCAATTGGCACGAGGTGCAAGAAAAAGAAAACGACCATTGAATTGAATCCTAACTCACGAGAAATATTTTTGGTAAATAGTTGTTTTATTGTAAAGTGAAAAAGTTGATATTGCCATGGACAGTACGTACATGGGTTGCATCTATGGATTACGTTTTTGTTTTTTTTACCTTCCTTAATAATATCCTTCTCCACAGGATGAAATGTGCGCTTAAGCCATCTCCCTTTGACAGATAGCAATCAAAACACAAAAACAAGTGTGTCAAAAGCCTCGGCCCTGCGACTCAATGGGCCCGTGATCCTGAAATAACCGAGGCGCATACAAACGAGAAGCTCAGCTCCCCGCCAAGCCCAAACAAGCCGCCGCACTCGTCGGCGGCCCACTGCAAATGAGGTAAATCTGTATCATATTTTAAACCCATCGCGGGTCTTAAATCGACCTGCCGGAGACAGATAGGCCCCTATCAAGAGCACCGAGGGGCCATGGCACCGCCGCACCACCAGACCCTTATCGCCCTCACATGCCCCCCCCCCCTCGCCTCTCCATTTACGCACTACACCAAGTTTTATTGGCAGCGACAAGTCCCGACCATGATTGAGATTAAATTAGTCGTAAACTGAAGAGCTTTTTTTTTTTTTCATCGGCAAAGGAGGACACGAGGATTAGAGCTGTATTTAAAAGATGGATGCACGGATAGGAACTCATGAATACCAAACAAGTCATGAATGGGCTTCATTTGCGCGAAATGCGTCCATGATCCCAAAGTGCTGTGGAAACTCAACATGCTGAGAGAGAGAAACATTAATACAAAAGCGAAGTGTCGGTTTGAAACGACGTGTAAAAAGAAATAATAAGTCAGCAAAAGATTGAACCTTTTGCACCCTGCAAAGGCCCATTATCTTCAAATAGTCCAGTCGTTTGGTGGATTCCCATACATGCACCAACAAAACGATGTTTCTAGGAATTAGACGCGTTGGGATACGGCACCAGAGACACGTGGAGATCCGCGTGTATTAAATATCACGTGTTTAAACAAAGTGCATGACGGTACTCGCCGTGTACGTGTGCGCGGGCCGCAGCAGCAGCAGCAGCAGCGCAAAGTGCTGGAAGTGAGTCTATCTGCGGCCGGCTGGGGTCACTAACGGCGGGGGGGGGCTCTTGTTCGTGATCTGTCAACTCAAATATGGATCACGAGACAAAGGAAGTTAGCGAGGAGTAATCTGTGTGTGTGATACGTTCACGGGAGTAAACGAGAATGTGAGACGAGTGCGGCAACAACGGAGACCCGCGATGTGTTTCCCTCCTCTTCGCTTCCTGAACTTGTTTGGCTTTTATTCGTCAAACGTACGGACGGTTTGTTTGCAGTCAAAGTGATTTAAAGTTTAAGAGATCTGAGATCTGAGATCACACGTAAATGCTCTGAGATTAAACACACACGCCGGTGAGAAATACTCGCGCTGCCCTGTTTTTCCTCGGATTTCACCGGTTAACTGAACACAACTTTCCCATTGGTGTGTATTCATGCAGCACCCAAAGAGCACCGCTTCTCCTACGGATGTCGCTGCGGGAATGAGCGGGGGGGCCTTTGGACTAAACTTTCTGCTCCCCCCCTCCAAGGTAAGACGCGGGGCTGCAGCGTTCCTCCTGACTTCATTTACAATAAAGAACCATTTGAGAGGATTTGGTTTTCGTTATATTAAAGGGGCAAGAGCCGGAAGACACACCATTCAACTCTATCAACTTACCTTATGCAGATAGTGACGCGTGGATCGGGTCAGCCTGTCGAAACGTTTCGGGAGGTGTGACATTTAGCCATTTCCATTCTGATCGTGTGCGTATTTTGCGCGTTTTTACCCACGCATTCGCCATGCACCTGCTGCCTGTTGTCAACTGATCACCCCCCCTCCCCCTTCCGCTCCCTCCCAACACACACACACACACACACACACACACACACTGACACAAAGAAGCGTTTGAAATATGTCTTTAAATCGTAATTTCGGGGGGCAAAGATACAGGATCAGTAGTGTATGGGTTTCCTATATCATATCACGGTCTCTCTGTCAGGTTGGGAGGTGAGTGTGTGTGTGTGTGTGTGTGTGTGTGTGTGTGTGTGTGTGGTGAGGGGTGTCAAGAAATACTTCAGTCTAATGCTTATTAGTGTGGACTGCCATTGCACAAGCCTCATCTTTTTAAAACAAGCATAACATGAAAGCAACCCAACTCTGGCTTACTCAAGCGATCATGACCCCCCCCCCCCTCTCTCGAGCGCGCACACGTGCACGCGTATAGCCTTACCCGGGCAGCACATATGGAGGTTGTGTGTGTGTGTGTGTGTTGGGTGGGGGGTGGGGGGGCGCGCTTGGTGCAGGCTGTGATCTCTCGCCTTGTGCACACCGAGTGGACAGAGGGGCTGAGCAGCTTAAATAGAGCCGCAGCACCTGTGCTTTCTGCCGCCGTTCTCAGGCCTCCTTAGCATGGCACGGCACAGTACAGCACTGATGTGTGCACTGAGAACCGCAGCGCAAACACGCAGACGTTACACACCATGTGCCAGAACATAAAAGCGAAGGGTGTGGGAGTTTGTCCTCAGAATTAAGCTACAATAAATAATTACTATGACCCCC